ACTGGCGACTTTGTAGTACAACTTTAGTACGCGGAGTATCTGGGGAGCTGGAAGATGAGAAATGGCGACTTTGTAGTACAACTTTAGTACGCGGAGTATCTGGGGAGCTGGAAGATAAGAACTGGCGACTTTGTAGTACTACTTTAGTATGCGGAGCAATCTGTGGAGCTGGAAGCTGAGAACTGGCGACTTTGTAGTGCAACTTTAGTACGCGGAGTATCTGGGGAGTTGGAAGATGAGAACTGGCGACTTTGTAGTACAACTTTAGTACGCGGAGCAATCTGGGGCTGGAGGCCGAGAACTGGCGACTTTGTAGTACAACTTTAGTACGCGGAGTGTCTGTGGAGCTGGAAGCTGAGAACTGGCGACTTTGTAGTACAACTCTAGTACGCGGAGCAAGCCGTGGAGCTGGCGACTTTGTAGTACAACTTTAGTTCATGGCTGAGTCATCTCTATTCTGTATTTTGCAAAAATGCATGAACAACGTTTTTGCCTGCGAGACAGTTGACGGTGGTTGCTTCGCGTTCGCTCCATTGGTCGGTTCCAACTTGTTTTGTCAAAGAACATCGCAGCTCGGCGAATCAGCCTGCCACATGCCCATTTCCTATAGGTTTATTCTTTTGGAAACTTACGCCGCCGGCTTGCCCGGCTTGCCCGGGAACTACTTGTAATCACTACCAGATTGATTGCCTCAAAGCTTGGAGGTCATTCATTTCTGTCAGGGAACACTGCAGTAACTTTCATTGAAGGTGTGCAGTCAAGACTTGGTACCAAGATTGGGTCAGATCATGCACTTTGGACTTGCCAGTGTTGTCAAGGGAGCAACTCCCTATGGGCTTGTCTATGGCAAGAGCTACAAAGGGCTTCTAGCAGAATATGGTGAAGCAGTTCATGGTTACACCAAAAGCCTCAATAAATAAGGGGGAAGCAAGATTGCATTTATGCTTGTTCTTGGGAAAGGTTGAAAGGCAAGACACCTATGTGCTTACAGATGGAGTGCAGGTAGTGCTTGGCGCACGCATCAGAATGACAGATCAAGATTGATCCAAGTATCTACCCACCTATAAAAGCATCAATGCCTTTCCACGGGAGTATCAAATCAATTTTGCAGGCAGAATCATTGCCACAAAGAGGTGAGCAGAAGCATTGCCAGCGTTGCCAGCAGGACAGACTATTCCAGTTACTCCTATATATCGGACCAAGAGAAGCATTTGACCTGCTTGAGGAGGAGAGTCCAATGAAGAAGCTCAGGCCACCAGATGACTCAAGTAAGCAAGCCAGGATCAATGTGGTGAAAGTTGCAGGTGAAGATCTTTATCATGTGGATGAAGAACTATCCCCAGTTGCAGAAGAAGTTGGTGAAGAAGAGTGGGATGATGAGGAGATGAGCCGGAAGAAGATGAAGTGAATGGACCTGAATGCTTGTGGCGTGACGGAGAACATGAGCCAGAAGGAGATCCAGAAGAATTGGTTGATAGAGTAGCCGATGAAGTGGAAGAGAGAAGACTCCAAAAGATGCAGGCGCTAGAGAAACCAGACTGTACCACAAAAGGAATCAGTTACCTGACAGCCCGCAATGTGTATGATTGGAGAAAGAACATACCACCTTGGAGATGGAATATCAATGAAGAGGTGGAAGCCAGGTCAGGACTAGTTGCAAGAGAATTTGCTTTCGCTGAAGGAAAGAGAGATGATATTTTGTCACCAGCGACTTCAGGACATGTACTGAAGCTTCTACCAACAATATTCTTGCAGAAAGCCAGCGAAGAGGAAGAAGCGAGAGAGGGAGAAGGAGCATTTTCACAGATGCTAGGATGTCTTGATGTGAAGGACGCATTCTTGCAGGTTCCACAAGAGAAGCCATTGAAAGTGAACTTGAGAGGAGAAGAATTCTTGGGGAAGAGAAATTTACCTGGACAGAGAGTTGGGGCAAAAGCATGGTTTGACTTTTCACAGAGTACCTCACCGAGGAACTCAACTACAAGTTCAGTGCTGAGTGTCCGTGCCTAGGAAAAATGAGGAGGGTATCATTTTGATCCGTGTGGACGACTTGATTTTCACAGGAGACTCAAAGCGCATGAATGAAGTTTTTACACCAGTGTGAGCAAGATCGAGAAGATAGGTGATGAGTTGAACTTTATGAGGAGACAGTGCAAAATAGAGAAACATGGACTATGGACCCAACCAGCTAACTACATCCAGCAGATGCTGAAAGCCTATAAAGCGCAAATTGGCAAGATCAAACTTCAGCAGTTACCATCAGACAACGCAATTCAGTTGGAAGACTAGCCTTTTCAGAAGCATTGTTGGATCAGGTATCTAGCTAGGTCAAGAGAGGTATGATGTAGCATTCACAGTGAAGGGATTGGCTTCAAGAATGTCAAACAAACCCTACAGCTATGTCATTTCATCGTGTGAAGAGGATAAAAGGATGCTTGAAATTTCTACAAGCAGGAGAAGGTTATGTCAAGACAGGAAAAGCTATGGGTGCTTGGAAACATTCTCAGGTTCAGACTGGGGTGGAAACAAAAGCCGCGCACAGGAAGTCAACATTAGGAGGGTTCCATGCAATGAACAAGTTTATCTTCATGTGAGGCAGAGTTACACGCCATAGTTTCTTCAGCGTCAGATGGAATCTATATTTGCGCGGTTCTTGAATTTGCTCTTGGGACGAAGGTCGTGGACCATTACATCTTGACAGATTCTTCAAGCGCACGCCAACTTGTGATGAAGAGAGGAGTTGGAAAGGTGAGACATTTGGATGGAAAGTTGCTATGGATTCAGAACAGGAAAGACTTCAAGATGGTACAAGTTCGAAAAGATAGCAACATGGCAGACATCAACACAAAGCCACTTGGAGGAGAGAGAATCAGATACTTGATGAACCTCATTGGGTATTGGCACAGTGAAGACCAAGCAAGAGTAGGAGAGCATGAGAGAAAGGTGTTTGAAGAGAAGAAGAACCTTGCAGGAAAAGTCACTAAGATTGCCAAACATGATTGTCAGAATGGTTGCGCTTGAGGGCTTGCACCCAGCGGCTACAGAGGTATTCTTAAAAGGGAAAGACAACACCCATTGTGAATTGAATGACAATTGTAAATTTTGAATCATAGTGATCATGGCAATCAAGTTCATTGGTTTCGCAGCAGTGATCTTTGCGCTATGGAGACTCCACAAGCGCGGTCAAAGTCGCTTTGAAGAGCTTAAGTATCACGTGGAAAATGCTCTTGGGAAGCATGGGACTACACTCGCTACAGGTCAGATGAATTATTTTGTGAATTAATAGAACTTGAGGGTATGGTCAGAGAATGTGAAGGCGATAGACATCCGATACATCTACTCAGAGACTATGGCTTTGTGGAGAGAGAAACACCAAACACGCAAGCCATCATCAGTTGTGACATATTGAAATCAACGCAGGAGACTACCTAGCCAGAAAGAGCTTGGAGGCTGTGGAAGCTACAGAAGGATGGTACGAAGGACATAGAATGATGTTAGAGGCAGCCAGTGAAGGAGCAAATCCATCAGAGGGACCATTACACAGAACATTCAAAGCAGGAAATAGAGACATATCAATCGGATCAGAATATATGAGAATGCAGGCAATACGGGCGTGGTAGATCTCAATGTAAACTTGTGGAGCTGAGAGGAAGATACGGGGATCTACTAGGAAGAGGAGAACAAGACGTAGCAGACAGAGTTGAACAGTCGCTTGCAATAGCAGAGCCCAGAAGGGAAAACCCAGATGTTGACCCAGCAGAAGTACGCTTTGGGACCCCCGTTTCTGAAAGACATGACTAAGCCCGCAGAGAAACAAGAATTGAATGGAAGGAAATGGATTACAGTGGCAGAGTGAGCTCAAAGCTGCAATTCAGTCGCTCACACTACCAAGAAGGAGCGCAACGTATTTTTTAGGTAGATCAGTCTCACTGTACATGACATAATTAACATCATTGAGTGTACGTGGAGCGTACCTGCAGCCCTCTTTTGGTTCAGAAAAGGTTCCCAATATGTAGTAGTGCTTTGGGACGTGCAATTCTGTACAATTGTAGCTTTGTTGGATGGTTTGTCCTGGGATATTGAACACTTGGCGTTGGAAAGGTGGGTCATCCAATTTCTTCAGTGGACTTTCCCGGGTCAGGCTGCGCAGAAGGCCATCCTCTTCAGCGCAGAGTTCAACGTGATCGGCAACCCCTTGCCTCAGGGTCTTCGCCCAGCACTGAATCCCCAGCCCCCGCAGACTCCCATGAAGGCGGCCGACGCGTGACGCGCGACGGGTCCCACGCGGCGACGGGTCCCACGCGGCGGGACGTGGTTCCACCGTTTCGGCGAGGCCGGTGAACTCACGGGCTCTGCCCAGGTGTAGCGGCTTGACCCGCTTGGGGCGGTGCGTGTTCCTTTTTCGCGGGGTTCTCGTTTAATTCTGGGTGTCTGGGGGGTAGAGCCTTGTTCGCGACTCGTTGTCGTAGCGAACGCAAGCGTTGTCAACCGTCCGCAACCGTTCGCGGTGGCGCTCACATTGGGCGAAGCTTTTGGAGAAGGTTTTGGATGGAAGCATGATGTGTCAGATTTGTGTGAAATAGCGAGGTTTGGAGGGTAGTGGTGTTTGTTTGAGCGTTGGATGTGGCTGTGACATTGGGATTTGCGTTTCCGGCTGTTGCTTCGAAGCTGTGTTTTCGCGACATGTCTTAGCTGAAATGGCCATTGTGGTGGATGGGAGTGCGCTCAGAACGTGTCGAAATCATTCCAAACGTGTGGTGTGGCGCCATTTTCGTGGCAGGCGCAGGGAGTCGTGAGGTTGCGAGTTGTGGTGGAGGTGAATGTCGCTGTGACATTGGGTTTGGCGTGGGCGGGTGTTGCTTAGGGCTGGAATCGCGAAACTGCTTGGCGGGGCTTCCCGCTAGACTACGCTAGACTTATGAAGGTTTTTATACCTATCCCTGACTCTGAATGAAAAAGAAAAAGCGAACATGTTCTACAATCAAGCGCGCAAACAATGCAACGAACATTGCAAAGCAAAAACTTAAAAAGCAAACGTAATAAACAACAACACTTATTGCAAAAACATAAAGACAAACAGAACAATTTAAAGAACAGCCAGCCTGATATATATAACAAGCTCAAAAACAACACTATTCAGAAGCAGAGCCAGCGCCGAAAGAACATGAAGAAATAACAGCAAAATGGATTAATGCGCAGCCGCCAAAACAACAAACCCGAGACCAAACAACAACAGTCGAGTTAAGCCCCTGCGCCAAAGAGGCCGCACGCTTTACTTTGGAACAACCGCAAAATGCCCAGACCGACTACTATAAAAGTGTTTCGCAAGAGTGTCCCACAAGAATGCCATACAAGAGTGTCCCAAAAGAGTGGCCCACAAGGGTGTTTTACAGAGTGTTCCGCAAGAGTGTCCCACAGAAGAGTGTCCCACAAGAGTGTTCGACAAGAGTGCCCTACAAGAGTGTCTCACAAGAGTGTTCGACAAGAGTGTCAGTGTGTCCGACCAGAGAGCCCTACAAGAGTGTCCCACAAAAGTGTCCTACAAAGAATGTCCCGCAGTGTCCTACAAGGGTGCTCACAAAAACTTTCCTACACGAGTGTCCCACAGAAGTGAATGTCATACAAGAGTCCAGAGCGTCCCACAAAAGTCTCCTACAAGAGTTTTCCACAAGAGTGTCGCGCAAGAGTGTCGCGCAAGAGTGTCGCACAAGAGTGACCTACGAGAGTGTCCCGCAAGAGTGTCCCGGCAAGAGTGACATACAAGAGTGTCGGCCAAGTGTCCTACAAGAGTGTTCCACAAGAGTGCCCTACAAGTAGAGCGTTCCACCAGAGTGTCCTACAAGAGTGTCCCACAAGCGTGTCCTACAAGAGTGTTCCGCAAGAGTGTCCGACGAGAGTCCTACAAGAGTGTCCCGCAAGAGTGACGTAGAAGAGTGTCCCACAAAAGTGTCGTCCCACAAGAGTGTCCTATAATAGAAGTGTCCTACAAGAGTGTCCCACAACAGTGTCCCGCAAGAATGTACGACGAGGTGACAATAGTGTCCTACCAAGAGAGTGTCCTGCAAGAGTGTCCTCCAAGAGTGTTTCGAGAAGAGTGTCCTACAAGAGTGTCTCCGCAAGAGTGTCTCACAAGAGTGTTGCAGGAATGTCGGGCAGGGGTGTCCCACAAGAGTGACCTACAAGAGTGTCCCGCAAGATTGCGCTAGGCGTGACATACAAGAGTGTCGAGCAAGAGTGTTCCGCAAAAGTGTTCCACAAGAGTGTCCGGCAAAAGCGCCCTACGTGTCCTGCAAGGGTGTCCACAAGATTGCCCTACAAGGGCGTTCCGCAAGTGTGTCCCACAAGACTTAAGAGTGTCATACAAGAGTGTCGCGCCAGAGTCTCCTACAGGAGTCCCAAAAGAGTGTTCCGCAAGAGTGTCCGACAAGAGAGTGTCCGAGGAGAGGGTCCTACAAGAGTGTCCCACAAGAGTGACATACAAGAGTGTCGCGCAAGAGTGTCCCACGGCGAGAGTGTCCCACAAGAGTGTCCTGCAAGAATGCCCCACATCAATGTCCCACAAGAGTGTTTCACAAGACTTTTCTTCCACGAAGTGGCCGACAAGAGTGTCCCACACAAGCCCGACAAGAGTGTCCCAACAAGAATGTCCCACCCCACAACATTGTCGGGCAGGGTGTCCCACCAGAGTGTCCTGCAAGAGTGTCCCACGAGAGTGTCCGACAAGAGTGTCCTACAAGAGCGTCTCACAAGAGTGTCACACAAGAGTGTCCCGCATGCACCACAAGAGTGTCGCAGAAGTTGCAACTTTTAGCATCATTGTAATGTGAGAAGCAGCTCCTGGGAGCTGGTAGTACACATGCAGTACAGAAAGCAGCTTCTGGGAGCTGTGGCCTCAGAACTGGCAACTAGGTAGTGCGCATGCAGTGCGGGGGGCAGGTTGTGGGAGCTGTGGCCTCAGAATTGGCCGCTTGGTAGTACAGGAAGCGGCTTGTGGCAGGTACTGTCGACTTGGTAGTGCAATATGGGTTCTGAGACCTGTGGCCTCAGAACTGGCCACTTGGTAGTTAAAATGTAGTGCGGATTGGCAGTGCCATACAAATGCAGTACGGGAAGCAGCTTCTGGCTGCTGTGGCCTCAGAACTGTCAACTTATGTGAGTGTCGTCCGCGAGTGTCCCACAAGCGCAAGAGTCCACAAGAGTGTCCCGCAAGAGTGCCCTACAAGAGTGCCCTGCAAGAGTGTCCCACAGAGTGACGAAAGT